AGAGACAGATAATATTGACTAAAGCCTGATCAAAACAATATAGTACACAAATCAGTCGTGCAACAGTGTTTATAAACATTTACACAATTACTTACCTCTGAACAGAATATCACTAAATGAGTGATGCAGTACACATACAAACGCCTTTAAACATACTGTAAACATGCGGTCAGTTTGACACTTACCGTATCTCGGCTCAGTAGGTTTAGTGGGGAGGGAAAAAACGGGAATAGAAGAACAACCTTGGTGTAATACTGCCAAAACAGACCGATCTGTCGATGGCAATTCTTCACAAGTATATAAAGTTCGCCTGTAACAACTGTCACCTCGTAAACTTATTGTTATTCTTGACTTGAATGCTCTGCAAAACTCTCTGTGTTTATTTAATACAGCCAAACTCGGAAACCGATCGACCTTTCACTTCTGTACGCGTAAATAAGGCGGAATGGTGGGAACGGTGGAGGACGGGAACGCAACAGTTTCTCTACACGTCCACAGCGGGAATTCTACTACGGCAGAGGCAAAGCTTATGAATATTAATTAGGTCATACTGAGGTTGCCTGGTAACCTTCCGGTAGCGTCCAGGCACGTAACCTGATAATATTCAAGAGCAAATGATTCAGCAAATCGCTCTGGGCTACTGGGAGAACGTCGGTTTGCGTCATTCATATTAATATTTCAAGCCTTAGCCATAGTAGGACTTTCGTCTCCATTATGGCTACAGGAGCGCCATCTGTCGACGCACCATATCAAAACCACCACCCTGCTCAAAGACACTTATTTCCATTTTCATTTTCTGAGTTAGTTATTTGTGTTATGTCATTTAAAAACTTTCTGGCAATTACCATCATGAACACTTATTTAGAACATTTGAAAGAAAAAAAGTAGTAGACGTGTTAGGGAAGTAACACGTAACATTTTAATTATATTTTGCTAAAATGAACGAAATGACTCGAAAAAAGATTCGTTCATTTTGCTGAACGAGACTCAAAGGTCCAAGTCAGTAAAATGATCCGAACTTCCCATCACTACTTTCTTGAGGAGTGGCTTTTTTCTTGCAACCCTTCCATACAAGCCACATTTGTGGAGAATTTGTGTATATTTGAATATTGTTGTCACATGCACACAAATTCCTGCAACTGCTTCAGAGTTGCTGTAGGCCTCTTGGTGGCTTCTCGGACTAGTTTCCTCCTGGCTTTTTATCCAGTTTGGAGCGACATCCTGATCCAGGGAGAGTCTGTGTTGTACCAAATACCTTCCACTTCCTTTTTAGGAGAGAGGTGATTCTTTTTTTTTCTTTTTCTTTTTTTTCCTATGTCTTTCGGACATGTTGGTGTTATATCTTTCACTTGGATGTTATAATTTGAGTAAATACAGCTGGATAAAACAAAAACTGTGTCTGTCTTCATTTCAGGCTGCAAAGCAACAAAACATGATTATTTTAAAGGGGGGTGATTCTTTTCTATACCCACTCTATCTATCTATCTATCTATGTATCTATCTATCTATCCATCCATCTATAATTTTACAATATAAATACGAACAATCAAAATAAATAACTTACCAAAAAAGATTACTTAAGTTACATGTCATGTGACTGACTAATAACCAGCATCAGAAAACCTTGCAAATGTGTTGTTAAATTATTGAAATATTAACTTAAAATCTCAAGGGAAACTTAATTTAAATGAATTAAGTTTTAAATCTAAGCAAGGGGTTCGGCGGACAAAAAAGTATGAAAACCCCTGATCTACTGACTTCAGAGAGACAGAAAGGGATGTAAAGAGCAGAAACTTCATTCATTGTCTATCAATCCACAGTAAATGTTTTAAATGTATTGATATTTGGTCGATATTGAATATATATTGGCCTAATTAGTTAATTAATCTTTAAGAATATCTTGAATATCCATTGCAGAGCAATCAGATTACGTAAAGAGGGAAAGCCAATGGCAAACCTTGCAACATGTGTGGATCTGAAACTGGACCAAACTGGTAAATCCACATTCATTGGTTAACTCTCGCCATTCCTCACATGACTCTGGCCTGACAGCATGTAGTATTGGGACTGTAATTATCTAAATTAATGTAGAATACAATATTATTATTCATGGTGCTGTTTAAGTCTTTACCAAGAAGGTCTTTGATACCTGGAGAAAGGTATCTGTTAAAATAGCTTTTCAAATTGTGTACAACTGTGACCAGCCAAATCTTGACCCCTTGTACAACCAGGCAACATTGACTCGTAACACACCACCATGGTGTGTCAATGGTATGAGTTTGGGGCGGGACTATATGTTTGTCCAATCAACGAGAGATTGGTGAAGGGTTCAGGAAACTTGTTTGAGGTGATTACTTTCAAAATTCTATATTGGAGCCACTAATGGCACCCTTCTTTAAAGTGATAGTTCACCACAAAATGAAAAGATTGTAATTTACTCAACCTCACATTGTTCCAAACCTGTATTGTACACAAATCAATGTTGTCTTGGACCCCAGTGACTTTCATTGTATGGACAAAAACAGTTATTCAATATATTCTTTTGTGTTCCACAGAAGACAGGAAGTAATAAGGTTTGGAAAAACATAAGGGTGAGTAAAAAATTTACAATAAAAAAGGGGGGCGAACTACACCTGTACATTTTATTTTCATGAGCTATAAATCCAATCAGAAAGGCCAACAAATGAATTAAGCATGGAAGGCTGGTAAAGATTTAAGACCCACTGCTGACAAGACACTTCACAGGATCAACAGCCTATAACATCCATGCAACCATTGTTTCAAATGGTATGTAAATACAACATTATATTAATATCTTGTAGCAAACTTTAAATAAATAAATAAATAAAATATGGCACTGAAAGAACAGACTCAGATTTCTTTGTTGTTATGCGAATACCCAGAATACCTATTCCAAGTCTAACCTGAAATGTACTGCCTGTATTTAACAGATCAATGTGCAAAGCCCTTTACAGTAAGTTTACATATCTGGTTCATGTCAGTCAGAATGAATTCGTTTGTTCTGGCTTTCTTCTGGATGACATGAACTATGTTTTTGAATTTCCTGTGATATGTCACATCTTGATTTGTTATTGCAGAACATTGACGATGATCATTCTTTCCAAAGCATAAAGAACAGAAGACCCATACAGGAATAATTTCTTCATATTAGCAGATATAATCTGTCTAAAGGTGACAGCTAAACATCTCAGCTGATCTTAAACGGACAAAAACATATCGTAAACAATGTAGCTGCAAAACACATTCATGGCAAATTAAAAAATGTACCACAAATCTCAACAGCCATGGTAATAATTTTCTCATTGTTGAACATGGGCTTCTGCTTACAGCAACTATCAAACACGAGACAGATAATATTGACTAAAGCCAGATCAAAACAATATCGTACACAAATCAGCCGTTCGACAGTGTTTATAAACATTTACACGATGATTTACCCCTGAACAGAATATGACAGTGCAGTACACATTTAAACGCCTTTATACATATCGTATACATTCTGTCAGTTTGACACTTACCGTATCTCGGCTCAGTAGGTTTAGTGGGGAGGGAAAAAACGGGAATAGAAGAACAACCTTGGTGTAATACTGCCAAAACAGACCGATCTGTCGATGGCAATTCTTCACAAGTATATAAAGTTCGCCTGTAACAACTGTCACCTCGTAAACTTATTGTTATTCTTGACTTGAATGCTCTGCAAAACTGTCTCTGTTTATATGATACAGCCGAACTCAGAAAACGATCGACCTTTCACTTCTGTACACGTAAATAAGGCGGAATGGTGGGCACGGTGGGGGACTGGAGCGCAACAGTTTCTCTACACGTCCACAGTGGGAATTTACGACTTCTACTACGGCAGAGGCAGAGCTTATAAATATTAATTAGGCCATACTGACGTTGCATGGTAACCTTCGGGCAGCGTCCAGTCACGTAAACTGTTAATATTCATGAGCAAATGATTCAGCAAATCACTCTTGGCTACTGGGAGAACGTCAGATTGCGTCATTAATATTAATGTTTCAAAAATTTACCATAGCAGGACTTTCGTCTCCACAGGAGCGCCATCTGTCGACGCACCGTAATATAACCTTCACCCTGTTCAAAGAATACAGGTAACTATTTCCATTTTCAGTTATACAAAGGTTTACACTTCCTGCATTATTTCTTCGTGTTGTCATTTTCTTTTTTTTATTAAAAAAAAATCTGAAAATCACCATCAAGAACACTTTATTAAAAAGTTTTATTTAAAATATTTTAATTAACAAAAACAAAACAGAAAACAGGCTGTCTATAAAACGGGTCGACTTTATTGCTTAGAGAATACAGCTTACAGCTTTTGCAAAGGCATGTGAATACGCTTCTCAGCTATGCCTTACCAGTCATCACAAGATATGAATTAACCACACATTCACAACTGCACTTTTACACATTGCACCTGGAAAAAAATCTGCCATCAAAACATTGTACAAAGTGAGAGTTGCAGAGCGTTCAGTGCGATATGCACCAAAGCGTTCACGTCATACAGAGCGTAAATACCATGAGCAGATTTCCAAAGCCTATCTGGTGACTGAATTTTCATAGTTTTTCTATCTTTGGTACTATGAGACAGATTATTATTCTGCACATGTAAATCTTTTCCTTAGAATACTGTTCTGAACACAGGGCAAGTAAAAGCCTATCTACACATAATCTTTATCTTCACTTGAACTAAAATGAACCAAAAAGCAACATCCTACATTACAAATCACATTCTCTTATCTCACTCAGCAGAACAAAGAGAAATACAGAAGCGGGGATGAACGGCTGTAAAAATCACTTTCCAAAAAATGTTCCCCAAATGTGTCTCTTTAAACTATGTTACAAATACAAATATAAGAGAAATACGCGAATCGCCTAAAACAGGACGCGATTCAAAACACCGGCTCCTGAATTTAACCAATGACAATTAATACGATGCACCTCATGTCACTGCCACAGCACATGACTTAACATTCTTCCCACACACATTGGCAACTTATGGCAACTGCCTTCAATTAAATCAGGAACAAATGAGAAAGAAAAAGAGGGATTTTTGAAAGCTAATAATTCTAGTTAACAAGTGAATCGAGGCAAACATAGCAACAAATCACAGGAGAACACCTATGATTGCTCCTAAACTGTCAGTATGAATTTATACTGGTGATCTGGGATTTAAAAGTTTATATAGAAGAAAACACTGCAGAGGTTCTCTGCTAAGGTTACGGAGGACAGAGAATGTGTATAAGACCGTACATGTCTGTAAATATATATATTTGTCAATCTATCTGTGTGCTTGGAAAGCCAGCCAGGAGTCACATGTCATCCTCTTCATCTTCATCCTGGGAAGATCCGGCCTGCTGAGCGGAACTGGCTGAAGCTGCCGCTAACTGTGCCTGCTGGGCGGCCTGCTGCATCTGTAACCACTCCTGCTGTGCTAACTCAGCCTGCTGCTGCCGTGCCTGTAAGACAGCAGAATTGATCAGAAGAGCCACTTGAAAACACAGCGTTCATGTTGTTACACAATACAAGGCACAAATTAGAAAGCCACAGAGCGCAAAGCTGATTCCATCCATTTCATAAATAGTTCCAACATGCTTTTAAAGCTCTTCCAGGATTTTACCTTGGCAAATAATTCCTGCTGTTGACGGAGAAGCTCTTCCTCAGGTATGCCAAGGTTCTCTAGTCGAGAGCTGGCCTTCCTCCGTTTAAGTGCTACGGTTTTACACTCTTGCAGAACGTCTTTTACTTCTGCGATATATGACCCAAAACCTAGACTTTCAAGCGCTGAGGGGAGGAAAAAAAAAAACATTAACTGTTACATATATCTGTTGGAAACGAAATGTACAACCAGTGACAACAAGAAATCATCATCTTCATACTGTAAACCTTTATCGTGACTGTTACACAATCGCATCTATCCTCTGTGTAGTTTAAATCCATACTGAATGCTAAAATACTGAATTAATCTTCAGACTAATCTGAATTAATCTGTATATTAATACAATCCATGACCTTAGCTGTCACCTAAAAGGTTGTAGGTTCAAACCCACAAAGGGACATCAGTGCAATCACCACTATGGATTTAATAAACATAGTTAAAGGGATAGCTCAAAAATTACATTATCTTATTTTGTGTTCCATAGAAGAATGAAAAGCATACAGGTTTGGAGCAAGTCAAACCATTTTCATTTTTAGGTCAACTCCACTTTAAACCAATCTAAGCCAGTTTAAGGTGGTCCCCCAGACTGGCTAAACTGATCTCCAGCAAGTCTTCAAGACTGAGCAGCTGAAAAGTGCCCAAAACCCCTTTAAAATCAGTCAAACGACTAGCCAGACCAGGGGACAAATGCAGTCTTATCATATGTTTATGTCTATGTTTTTTAAATTGGCCCCAGGCTGGAAGAGCAGCTAAGACCAGCAGACCAGTTTAGGCTGGTTTAAGATCATGAATTATATGGAAAATGAGCCAATGAGTGAACGGTGACCGAGGCTGCCAGTCCCTATCACTCAGGCAAACATCTCATTTTGTGCTCATCTGAAGCAAGAAATATGGGGCTTGGAACAACATGAGTGAGCAAATGAAAGAGCGTTTATTTAAACTACCCTTTAACTCAAGCTTACTGGACAAGCTTTGAATAAAAACCCTACATCGTTCATCCTATTGATTAATTAGCTGTTAGTGATCTCACAATCATCAAGAAGTGACATCCTCACCGTTTATAACATGTTCTGGGGATATAGTCTTCTTCTCGGATTTATTGCAGATCTCGTTGGCCTCTGATGAGACGAGGTGAATGAACTCTGTGCAGCAGTTCACCACCAGCTCTCTGGCATCGTTCGCCACTCGCACATTGGGAAGCGTTTCTTTAATCATTTTATTGATCGCCGCCCTCGGGATCGTCAGGTCATCGTCGTTGCCCGATGAAGAGGCCATGAGGGATGAGCTGCCGAGACGCTTCAGTGTTTGAAGGGGACCGAAACCAGGCGAGGAAGTTCAATGGGTCGTTAATGATGAAACACCCACAGAGGCGGCTTTGTGTGGAGATTCAAATGGTGTGGTTGGCTTTCTTATAGCAGATCACTAAAACACTGTCAGAGAGAATGCATGCTTTTGAATATAGGTTTGAATTCAAATTCAGGGAAAGAGGGTGAGTGTTTGACCAAATGAAGGGAGGATGAGGAGTCGGTACCTTTCGGTTGATCAGTTTACGCTGACTCTCCACATCCACACATCAGTGCTGCTACTGTTCCTGTGCGCGTTTATAATCATGATTCAACTCCGGTCGTTCATTCTCAAGCTGCCTGGGTAAACTAACAGACGGCGCCAGCGTTCGGCCAAAGCCCAGGGCGGAATTGTTTAAGCATCCGACGCTCTTAATTCATTGCTTCACCCACACCGTTAGCGATCAACGAAATTAACCCCAAAATTCATCACTTCCGGATATCCGGTGATTCTTCTGCTTGTTATTGTATCGGGGGGTTGCTCGACACTGCCGCCTACTGTACGAAACCGAAATTACGAAATTTGATCTCGAGACACTCTTTCTTACTACCTTGTTTCTTATTGCCTTTCTTATTGCAACTCGAAATCTTTCAAACCATTAAACATTGTATTGTGTTGTGTATACCCCTGACATTTTGTATTGAAAAAGTACAAAACTGAAATTGCAAGCACAAGATTAGGGAAAGTTACGTGGTTACATAGTTGGGGGTCCAAGCAGCCAGCTGCTTGAGCCTTGTGTTTGTTATGGTTTTCTTTTCTTCCTTCTCCCTTTTTTTTACGGTATATGCATATATTATGCATATTACTATACATTAATACAATTATGTGACATAATATTATATTATAATTAGTACACACAGACAACAGGTGATACACTCCAAATTTCATCAAGTTTAGGTCATGGAGGATGCTATATCAGAAGTGCTTAGCTGTGTGATTAGGATGTTAACTTGATACTTTTGTTTTGATGTTTTTATTTGGTAGAAGCCTTAAAAATGTCTTAAAAAATGTCTTAAAATAGAAATAAAAAAATGTCTTAAAATAGAAATAGGCTAGAACAATTTATCAGAATTGGTGAAAAACTTGAAACTAAACTTGTTTAGATTACAAAATTCGGTTGATCAGTGATCTGATTGGGACTAATTATCACAATGTCACAGTATATGGTAACATGCCCAATACTATTCAACTATATACAAGCACATCATGTGAGTGAGTGGGAGTGTGTCAACCGCAAAGAGTGGCACAGCATCGACATCCAATTGTGTGCGACACTGACCTCATCATCATGAACAGTGTCGTGAAGTGCCTGGGACTGTCCATGCATGTATCCTGAGGGAGAGCACTGTATACAGAGAGTTCCAGTCTGATCAGGATAATCCTGTTTTTTTGGATCAAAGGTACCCCAATCCTACAAAAAGTTTTGAACAACACCTACTGACAATTAAACCATGTTTGGATGACTGGATCTAATCCTATTTCTGAATGTTTCTTTTGAACAACATTTTCAAGAATTGATCTAAACCGATAGCTGAAAATCTGATCAGAACAACTGGGCTAATAAGATCATTTCTACTGTTATTTAAAGATCATGACAATTGATGCCCGAATGCAATGCACTTTTTGAGAGAACTGGCCACAAGGTGGTGCTATAACAAGTGATTTTAGATTTTTGTATGTAATGCAGAAGCTTTATTCAAACCTGTTCTTTTTCCCTTTGAATCCTCAAGTGCTGGTAATCTAATGGCAACATGTTTCACTGCTGCCTATAAAACTTTCCATTTAGAAAAAAAAAAAAAACTCTTTTCGAGTGAGGAAAATTAACTTTAGCCCTCTGATGCATTGTGGTCACTACAGTGGACAGATATTTGGAAGCCATTTTGAACCATTTAGATGTAGCATCATGTCCCAACCACCAACTGGCGAACCCCCAAAGCGTTGTCTACGATTCCATTTAATTGTCTTTTTATCTATTTTTTTTTGTTTTGAGAATCTACTGTATAAACACAAATCTCTTTTCTTTGGTAATTGGTTTAAAATTGGTATTATTTTTGCATCACAACCTTTCAATCAGAATGGTTCAATATGTAATTATTCTGGGTTCTTAGATAAGCATGAAATTCCTGTTAGTCCAAAAGAGTTTGCAATTGTTGCTGATGCAGTGCCACATGGAGTTCTCATGCTTTTTAGAGGTCTTTTTTCCCCCCAATCTCTGTCACTCAGTGGATCTATGTAAAACATTTATATAAGTAAACAGTGACTTTCATCACCTAAATCAAAAAACAATAAGAAAATTAGAGTTTTATTTCAAGAGGAGTCTGTTCCTGTGCCTTATGTAATTTCCAACTGGAATGGTTTTGTAAGCAATATTCCCTGGTAGAAAGTTTGGTCATTACCTCGCAAATACCTGATAACCAACAAAATGAGAAAAGTTACATTTAACCCTTTCATGCATGGTGTCCATGACAGTGGAGAGATATTTGTAAGCCAATTTGAACCATTTAAGATGTAGCACCATGTTCCAGCCACCAACTGCCGAACCCCCAAAGTGTTGTCTACGATTCCATTTAATTGTTGTCTTTTTATCTATTTTTTTTTGTTTTGAGATATTGCATAATATATTCAAAATGGCGGCAGGAAAAGGGGATGCCCCATGTACCTCCGGAATAAGTGTTAAATACTTACAAAAAATATTTTTCAGTTAAATAGGATGTCAGAAATAGATGCATCCAGATTTTAACAATATTTTTCTTGTACATTTTTTTCTGTGACAGAAAATATACCTGTCCACTACAGTAGACATCATGCACCAAAGGGTATAATTCTGCCTATGGGCCTATATATAGGTTCTGCCTTATTTTGTGTTTTATTAAAATTATAAATTATATTATAATTTACACTTGAATGGTTTTATTGAACAGAAATATTAACTAGTCTTTATTTCAATGCTTACAGTCTATATTTATTCATTAGGTAATATAAAAGTGTAGACATGTATACATGTATACTGTATTTTTATACCTTTGATCGTCCACTACACTGGATATGTACATAACTCCCTCAAAACATAATATGACAAAAAAAATTTGGCATGATTTTTCACTTGTTTGAAAGTAAAAACAAACATGTAAAAAATATTACTTTGTGATTTAATAATTCATGCATCAGAGGGTTAGACCAGACTTCAGTTTTCTAAAACAGTTGAGCAGAAAACACACAATAGTGGAAAATGTGTAGAAATTCTTTGTACAGCACAGACTTTGCACAAGTTAGCATAAGAGACTTCTTTAAAAACATTACAAGTCTTACTGATCCCAAACATTTGAGCGTATATATTCAGAAAACAAAGCAGAATTTAAGGTTGTGTTTGTATATATCTAGTTTAATTGCTTTTACGTGCACACAAAACTCTGAGTATCTTTGAAACAATTTTGATGCCTGACCAACTTTGGCAAATCCAGTGAATATTTCATCCTTGAAAGCGCTCAGTGTATCAACATTGTACCTTGTTAGCACTAGCTAACACCCATTTACCCTAACTGCCACAAATAAAAACTGCCAATAAGATTACTAGATGGAAAAGTGCTTAAAGGTTTTGTGTGTAATATACACCAGAGAGTTAGTGAACAGACATGGTCCATGAGCATGGCGTCTGAGTAAGAGTAAGCGTTTGGATGGATAGCTTCAGCATTTAGCCCCTTCTAGTAGATCCCTTAAAGGGTGGATTTGGTTTGCAGTAGTTTTGTCAGAGTGGTTTGTTCCTCTGCCAGACAAATTTGTACTTCTTCTCTTTAAGTTTCTCATCATCATCATCATCATCATCATCATCAATGATGTTTAGTGAAGAACACTTCAAGCTTCTTTTCTGAGCTCCTGTGGCACTGACTACTGGCTCTACCAGTGAGGTTCACCTTCTTGCTCAATAACATTGCTTACATCTTTACAGTTGTGGTTTCACCATCTCCAAAAACACTTTAAAGGGGTCATATGATGCTACATGCAGTTTTACAAGTAGTTTGAACTGAAATGTGTGTTGGCAGTGTGTGTACACAACCATCCTAAAATGATAAAAATCCGCCCAGTGTTTTTTTTTTTTATCCCGACATCTGAGCTGCTGAAGATGCAGTGGATTACGTTTGTTTTTGAAGAGAATGCGCCCCCGATCTACATAAATGCGTCTATGTTCGCGCGAATCATTCCTGATCCAGCCTCATCTACAGAACGAGTGTAAGTTTTTTTAATGCATCTTTGCAAATCGCCTTTCCTAATACTGTGCTAATTAGCGAGTTTCACGATGAATGCGGCTAAAGTAAACAGTCCCCCAGAGAGCAGCTCAGAAGAGAGGGGCGGGATCAACAGAGCTCATTAACATTTAAAGGAAAATGCTACAAAACTGCTGTTTTTGACAGGGCAAAAAAGGGTGTTTTTACACTACCATTGAGAAATTTTAACCAAACTATGTTACAGACTTTTCATTACGACCCTAAAGAATCATATCAACTTGTGGAAAATGGGCATCCTATGACCCCTTTAAATACCATTCAGAAATTGGAAGAGATTGGAGAAGATTGGCTGGAGAGATTATTCAGCCTTTCTCAAAATACCTAATGTCAGGATTGGACCTGTTTTGTCATGTGTTTCAGTTCCTGTTTTGCCTTATTTGGTCAAGTTCCTGTCCTCATTAATCTGATTATGTTTCATTGATGTCACCTGTGTTCCCTTGATTGCCCTGTGTTTAAAAGTCCTAGGCTGTATCCAAAATCGCCCCCTATACCCTCATTCACTATTCCCTACATTAGGTCACTAATTAAGTTCTCTTGAAGGAATGACTGAAAACAAGTGAGTGAATTCAGACACTCAGTGCACCAGAAGGACTGCCGCTTTTGCATAGTTTGTGCTGCTGTTTAATAATCATTTACAACTGGCAGCTCCAGTAGTAAGATTAAAGGATTTATCTTGAACTCTGTCATGGAAATTATGTATAGACTCTGGTTAAACTATTTAATAGTCAATTTACAATGAATTTGTACCTGTATTGTATTGCGCTGTATTACGCCATGGATGAGCACGTTGTGAAATGAATTCAGCTGGATGATTCGGCCAAAGAGTATAGAAGACCAGCTGTGGGCGACATCTTCTGGCGAGATGCAAGAATTCATTTGGCACACGACTCTCACAGTGCATTATGTTGGCTCAAGCTCCCATTGTGGATTATCTCCTGTGTTTCTTGATTAAAGACTGTTAAACGTTTCCTCGTGACTCCGGCGTGTTCTCTCAGCAGCGTAGCGTGACAGAAGACCTGACCCAAAAACAGTTACCTCCGTGTTTTCCCCTCTGTTTGTTTTCTCGTTTTTCCCAGTATCTTTTTTTTTCCGTTGTGTTCCCTGCATGGATGCCCTCCTTCGCCCGGAATATCTCCTCCTGCTGGAGCAGGGGGAGAGGTCACTCGAGGACCATACTAGACTGTTCCAGCTGCTAGCTAACACCACCAGCTATCCGGACGACGCGCTCTGTGCGTTCTACGATGCAAGTTTAAACACCGCATGCAGAGCGCCATCGTCCGAAGATGGTCCTCGAGCTTTCACCGCGTTTGTGGAGTGGATTCTGGCGAGAAACGAATCGCCTCTCACCGC